CTCAAATATCAGGGTAAATCATGTGCGGCCAGTCTGTTCAAGAAGCATAAGAACGAATACATGGATTTATTCAATAAGAAGATTCACATGATTTGCAAACTTTGTTTCAGTTTTTATGTGAGATTACATTTTCATATTATTTACTAATATACAACAGTTTTAATACAGAAGTAAATTTTTCATTTATAAAACAGGACTGTTATGTTCGGGTCAAAAAGGAACTTGCTAATGCCCCTAAGACTTAGGAATCAACCAAAGGATTAATAATGAAGTCTTAATTAAAGTACACAATGAGTGATATGAATGTATAGATGATAATTCAATTGTCATTTAAACACTTTTATGTAATAAACAATAAATTATAATCGATTGAATAAAATAAGTGCACTTTTAAACTAGCTCATAAATGAATGAATACATTGAAGTAAAGTTATAATAAAAATAAAAAAGGTAAATGTAATCATAAATGCGTCTATTTTTTGATTATGAAATGGTGGGCCATTCCTGGCGGTAGTGCAGTGCCCGGTCGACCCGTTGTGAGAGTGGAGCGCAGCCCCGACACCTCACATGTCCACAAAAATTAGTTTAATATCGTGACCCCCAGTGAGAGGTTTATGAGATATTAAGCTCATAAGAACAGATACTACGAACGATCTAAGCCATTAGGCCGAGAAGCGATACCTAACCGTCCACTCAACGGCACCCACCATCCACTCCCATACCTTTTCCTATTATAGTCTATAAACACAGAATTCACTAATTATTAGAAAAACTCGGGTTAATTGTACATTTTTCACAAATCATCACAATCGGTATATTAAATCGTATATATTTATGTGTTTAAATTGTTCAAATTAACTTTTAATTTAGTTATAATTTAATAATTTTAAAAATAAATGATATATTGTATAAGGAATAGGAATTACATTTAAATAGACATGAATTCTGTTGCAAACGTAATGCAGACGCTGTTTGTAATCAATTTATGCGTTAGGTATTGCACACACTTTTGGTAAGGTATGCATTGGTAAGTACCGCTATTTTTAGTATTCAAATCATTAATTTAATTAAACCTGTTTGAAAAATCGATAATTAATCGAAATGTTTTCGATTTTTATTCACATTTTGTTAAAACGGTAATGCAAGTAACGTTATGTATGTTGCCACGTTAAATAACTGTACTGAATACCTGTGTGAATACTACGGCTAGTGACTATACTGTACAAACTGCAGTGTATTAAGAATACAATGAATAGAAAAAAGTATTGTATAAAAAACATTTGACATATATTCAAAAATAATTGCCTTAAACTTTGTAGGAAACACCTGTTCTACAGGTATTAATCAGGTATCTGTGCGTCAGTGGTATAACGGTTAGCATAGCTGCCTTCCAAGCAGTTGACCCGGGTTCGACTCCCGGCTGACGCATACTTTTACTACTACCCCACTCCCACTCCTCCCACCCGCACCCCATCATTCACACCACATTTTACATTAATTTTACACATTTATAGATTAATTTTTAAAATGATTTTTATCACTTTCTAAAAGGGTTAGCGTATAAGCAAGCTAATTAGGGAAAATAAATATGCAATTTGTTCGGTAAGTAATTGTATTGTTATTTTTATTTGACATTAAAGCGAATCGATATATGAATTACAGTACAAATGTATTACAAATAGAAAACAAGCGATAAATTATAATTAGCGTACATTTCATACAATACATACGAAAAGACACGACAAAAGTTTGAAATTCTTTAACAAACATTTCAAATAACAAAGTTTTCGGGGAATAATCCAAAGTATGTGGCAATTTGCTTCACAGTTATGTCTCACAAATACAAACACATAATTATAATTATATGTAAATAATTATAAATATATTTCGGTTAACAATTGCGTTACTCATAGAAAAAACAAAGGGATACAAATTGCGGTAAAATTTCAATTAGTTTAGCGTTAAATACAAAAATTAGTTACAAATAAATTGTTTTATTGACTTTCGCTTTTCAGACAATGAGTGCGAAAATGAGAAAAACACGTATAAATGAATGAGAATTTTGTTATCATCGTTACAATTGTAGTCATATTTTACAAACATATTTATACTGTATATATATATATATATATCGTATAACTTATAAAACACCATTAATCTTAATTCAGTTTATATTTGTGTTTCTCATCACTTATTCAAATGAGTGTTTTATTCCATATATACTCATCTATTTTCATATATATATATAATATATATAATTATTATATATAATGGTATTATTCAATGGATACAAATCATAAAAATATTTATCAATATTTAACATATAAACCAAAAACCAATTAATAGTTTGTTAAAATTCTGTTTAGTCGCTTAACCAATGAGTTTATACATTATTATTAAAATTATATCATGAAATTAAACACGTTACAAATATATTACATTCAAATAAAACATCGAAACCTTTCTCATTTTTAAGTATATCATTGTGTTACCATTTAATAGTCTTTCATTTAGAAATAAATATTAATAAATAAATAATAATAATTAAATGTGAACACAAAACAACTGTATCATTTTAAAATACGGAATGAATTCATTGAATAAATTAAAAGTATTCATATAATCTTATTTAGCATTTTATGTTATTATTGTAATTAATAATAATTTCTGTTTAAATAAATACTCAAATAAATAATACTTATTTAAATACAATCATATAGACTATTGTTTTGTACGTTTAAGTTATGAATTTTGTTAATGTATATTAAATAACAAATTCAATACTAAAGCAAAACATTTAACCAAAAACACCTCTTTAATGAATATTCTGCACTAAAACCATTTGTAATAAATTATAATCATAACTAATATATTATAACTAATATATTATATTTATATAATTGATAAATTAACCAAAAATGCACAGAAACTGTTTGAAAAACTATTAACTATCTGTAAAATTGTCGCGTTTTTTCATTTGTTATGTAAAGAGTTTCCAAAAAGTGGTGTATTTTTAGAAAAGTCTCACAAAAGAGTCAATGAATTATTGACTCGTATTTTAACGTAAAATCATTACTGATAGCAATGTTTTACAGCAATTTTTTGGTGTCACTGTTTTGCTTAACCACCTATTGGCGGCTAATAATTATATACTAATCTCTAATCCATTACCACAACTACGAGTAATCTATTAATCTAATGGTGTGGGTGGGGATGCGGGGGGAACGGGCGGTTCACACTTCTATTGTAATACCACTATCGTATCGTATTGTAAACCAATTGATTATATCGTAATCAATATTAATCTAAAAAATAAATACCGTATTTCCATAAATAAGCCAAAAAACTACTCACAAAATGCTATTCTCTGGCAAATAATAAATTAAACACTAATCGTCTGTTTCTCTCAAATACTTTATGCCATATTCGAGACAAACAATTGAAAGTAAAGAGTAAACGAAAATCAAAATAAATAATTAGAAAAATAGTCTTTTGTTTCGGCGATAAAATACATAACAAACAACTCGAGAGCAATGAGTGTGAAAATTGCTGTAAAATATATAAATTAAATTATAATTACACCGAAACGCCTGTTCAGAGCCTTTCGTATGAATAAACTAACCATTCATTCAATGAGCGAATGATAGGAAACGAAACAATGAATGAATAAATTATATATAAAATAAGTTACTGTTATAAAAATGGGACACAAGTTATATAATGTAATTAATTAGAACCTAAACTATAGACAACTAATTGTTATTAAAATTCATTTAATAATAATTAGTCATTAGTCGAGGCATGAGTGTGGATGATATGAGTGGTTATTAATGTCTTCACAACTGTTGGTATTATTAGTAATCACTTTAAAGGTATCTTCAGATGTATCACAACTCTTGAGGAGACGGTCGAGTGTGGGAGCGGTGGCCGCGACGGGTGTCATAGGCGTCACCGTCTTCAACAGCAACGCGTTCAAGTCGTCGGCACTGGTAGTGCTGCCCATACTGTCGACGGCACTGCCGGTGCTGCTGGTGGTCACAGACAGGGCCGACGCGATGGACGATGAAGTGGAGGAAGTGGTGTCGGATGTGTTGGAAGTTTGTGTGATAAACAGCTTTGGATTTGCGTTGCCGTTCACGATGTCGATGGTCTGGACGCCCATCACTTTGGCCAGTGGTGTGGGCGCCGACTTGATCGCCGCCGCGACGCACAGATTAGTCAACACTTTGACGCCGTTAGCGGTGGCCGCGGCCGCCTCATCGGCGCCGGGAGTGGTCTTCCGGTGCGTGCGTTTGTGGCGCAAGAAATTAAAGTTACGGTCCGATTGGTAGGAACAGCCCGAGTGCTCGCATTTGAATATCTGGCGCCGTATGGGCGGCGGTCGCGGCCGTGGTGGTCGAGTCCTGTCCCTCTGTCGCGACTTAGGCTGTCGTGCCTTCAGCACCGCCTCATCGATAACAGCGGTCACGGTATCGGTGTTACTGAGCGCCTGGTCTTTGGCCAACAGTTCCAGTCGTTTGTTTAAGTCTATCGAAAATTGTCGCTCTTTTTCGCCAAATATGATATCGTCTGAAACGTGAGAAATGAATGATTAGTTTATTTGGTGAAAGACAACCACTTGTGAACTCATCCCAAACACAGACAGACACCCACTCCTCACTCACTACCCCTTCCCTCACACTATTGAGAAACCAAATCAATCACTTGTGCCTAAAATCGTGCGCTCAATCCCTGTCCCTGTGCTCTCATTTAGTTAACTAACATTACGTTATGTCTCAACGTATGACTAAATATAACAAATTATGTCATTTTAATTGGGATTTCATAATAATAGCTCGTGTTATGCGGTCTATAAAGAGGTTCACTATAGTCAGCAATTAATGCTAATAATCACGTAAACACTACACTTAATAAACATTTATTAGGATACGAATGAAATCTATTTGGTTTTGCCCTCAAATAACATATTAAATAAATAGACACTAAATATGATTACAACTAATATATAGATTTAATTGAGTATTGATTACAAACAACACATAAACGCGAAAATGAATGAAAAAACTCACTTTTATTGCGATTATTCTTCTTATTATTGGTTTTATTGGCAAATCTCTTGATGGGAGTGAACCTCATGTTCTCAAACGAGTCGTTCTCCTCGCCATCGCTGGCCATCTCCTCGCAGTCCATACCCTCGTCGTTGGCGCCGGTATTGCGTCGCCGGCGACCCATAAAGTCTTGTCCGTCTGGGGGGCCGGCCGTCAGCCCAAACACCGACTTCTTGAACCGTTTGTTACTCTTATTGGTGGCCGAGTTCTTGGCACTCTTGACGAGCGGGTCGTCCGTCGACCAGAAGATGTGATCAAATGCGGTGATTGTCTGTCGCTGATGGCCGCCAGTGGTGGTGCTGTCGGCGCTGGTATTGCTGTTACTGATAATGAAATTACTGTTCTTGGTGTTAATGGCCTGGAAGTCGAGATCCAAGTCCAGTAACGTCTTCCCCGAGCCGGTCAGCCAGTCGTCGAAGTCATCGGAGGCGGCGCTCGACTTGCGGCACATTTGCTGATAATTCATGTCCAGACCGACCAACTGGTGGTACCGGTGCTGCCACTGCTTCAGATACAGCTCCGACTCCGACTCTAGCCACCGGACCTCCACGCGCTTCGGTCGCGGCTTAGACACCGGCGCTCCCGCACCGGTAGTCGTAATGGCGGACATAGAGGTCATAGACATGGCGTTCACTGACACCACTACCAGATCCACACCAATGTATGTCTCACTCTCTCCCTCAGGATATCTTACACAAAATTAGTTATAAACACTTATTATAAGTATAATTAAAACTATGAAATGAATACAAAAAACAATTTATTTATTAAAACACTGTTTGTTGGACACGAATAACACACAAATCAATGGGCTTTTGGTGCCTATCGTACACTTATATACAGATTATTATTGTTGTTATTATGGGTTGTAATACTAGTGGTGGGTGTGAGTGGTGATGACCAAGATCATTTTGAATGATAGTTCTAATTAATTACGAAATCAAAACAACTATTTATTTATTTATTTGTATTATAAATGATTGAATCAATGAATGACTATTCAGTCAAACAGCTGTCAAAAAAGCATACGTCACGTGATGTATGCACTGAGACTGCGCACTGACAACACTGCACCCATACGCTCATACATGAAGGTACGCCTATATGAGGGGAAAGGTGGGCATATTATTTATCTAGCTAATAAATATCACAAGAAATTTCAGCGAGCCAAAATTATAAAACATTTAAATCTTATCAAAATACAATGTGATTAACCAACTTATCTCGCTTAAAATATAAATAACATCTAATTAGTGTACGATGAAAATATATTTAAACTAAAGGGGCTATGAAGGGGGGCTAGCATTACGTGCAAAACCGTAACACAGTATGTGAACAATGATAAGTGGGTTGATTAGACGGCATTTCAAACGTCAAAACTATTTAAATAGTAAAAAAATTTTGGTTTAATTTCTTTATTTTTCGCACAATTTTCCTGTCATTGCATTGAAGGCTAAGACTTTGCGCTATGAATGAGTGCATAGTCTCTATCGCCGCACGAAAAACCCAACGAAAACTTTTTTCCAGACATTTCTGACCACAAATAGCAGCGATTGATAGGATGTGTCGAAACCATAGCTAAACTGTAGAGAAGTGTTAGACAAAGGATGGGTTCAATGACATCATTAGGGTTGAGGGCAGTCACCACCACATCTACACCTACCGGCGCTATATTTGAATCACTTTTTCGGGTTTATGCCTAAATAGTTGGCCCCAAATGTGATTGGTGCTTTTTGTATGTTTTAATTGTATTATAGTTTTATAACTTTTATTTAGTTATTATATGCGATAACAGAGGGTTTTATATATACCAGTCCACTGGTGTAGGTGCTATAGATATGCGCTTATCTATGCTATTATAGTTATGCGCGTATTGTTTGCTATAGTTTTTCATTACTTTTACTTTTACATCAATGTTTGCTATTTTAAATAAATAAAATGTAACCTTGGCTATAAGTTTATACAGGAATAATTAGCGTATAAATAATGATAAATATAACCTCTATTTTTCATTGAATATTCAAATGCTTGCAAATAGGACCTCTAAACAAATTGTCATTGCTCAATTCTACAAAACTTATAAATTTATCATAAATTAAATTATAATTTATTTGCAATATTTAAACATTTTATACAGAATTCTCAATAACTTATTGGCAATAAGTTTATATAATTTGGCAAACATTGAGAAATCTACAGTTTATTATATACAGATAGCAGCATGGCACTTTTGAGGAATGTTATCACCGAATGGTTACTAACGAGTAATTAATGGCATTTCCACTAAATGATAGTCAATACAATAGTTTTGTATTTATTAGACACTATAAAAACATTTCGTAGTTTTCATCCAAATTGATAACATTATTGCCTAATATGAGTCTGAATTGAATGAAAACCTTAGACACAAACATTGATTACTGTGATTAAGAATAATATCCGCCACATATTTATGTACATTATTATTATATTGGCATTTATGTGGAATTCTTGTGTTTAAAAATATTTCATTTTAAACATACATCAAATTTGGGGCACTAACATAATGTTTTTTGGTAATACTTATAAATTTTGATAATAACGTTACAATACTTATAATTTAAGATATAGATAGAAGTCAAGTGTTTGCATAAAAAGTTTTATATTAATTTATAAATTTATTTATATTAAAATGACAATTTCACAAATATTCGCTATTGTAAAATTTTTAAAACAAAAATTAGTTTAATCAAACATTAAATTACACAAGTAGTAAAAACCCCAAACATTTATAAAGAATTTTTAAACTTAATATTAACAGTAATCAGTCTATATTTGGTAAAAACAAAACTTATCTATAATTTACATAATCAGTGTTTTAAGAGGATTAATACAATAGAATACATTAAATACATATCAAAACACAGTATAATGTTGTGAATAGTCTAGTTGTGTATATTTCGCAATGGTAACTACAGTATAATAAAAACATATTATATTACAGATTGGATTCAACGGAATTCCCATTGCAGTGACATTTTGAAAATGAGATAGGTATTTAATACCCACATAAGAGTGTATTAGTGAGTGAACTATCAGTTTAGCAGTTATTATAAAGTTATGGATAAAAGAAATGTTTAGTTTTTGATACAACGAAACAAAGACTAAAATCATAAAAATAGAGACAAAAATTTGTTCCCATTTTCGTAATATTTGATTTTGTCTCTCATTTTTCTGATATAATAAAAAAGCAAATATTACGCGAAAAAACTTATGAAAACAATAAAAAATTCAGTTTTATTTCGTAGTTATTATACTTAGACTTTATATTTAAGACACGTTTAATGCGATAAAAATGTTTTTCTACTTTATATTAGTTTTTGTGTTGCCTTTAAGTAAGACTTTTGCCTTATTTTGTGAAACTTTTATAACTTATGTATACTTTTTTGCAAATAAATACCAAATATTTATGTCACCGGTAGGTTCGGCCCAACAGAATGCCATTACCGGAGACTGCAAAGAGGATGGCGTGTTTGTGTTTGGAGAGGCCGGGGATCTGGGATATACGGAGTGCGTGAACAATGTGGCCGAGTTTCACAGCTGCGGGATATCGGACGAGACCAACCATTTCATATACGATGGGGAACGGTGTGTGGACCCCAGGTTCGAGTGCCCGGAACTGGAGGGTGTGTTCCGGCACAACACGTCGCACCGGCTGTACTACAAGTGCCACAATCGGATCTCAACGAAACACTACTGCGCGGACAACGAGGTGTTTGACGGACTCGTGTGCATACGTGTGGTGAGGGCTGAGGTGACCAGTGGGGGCCACCTGAGCGTGCCCTTCAACTGCGAAAGGGACGGTCAGTTTGCGAACCCCGAAAGCAAAACACATTACGTAATCTGCGAGGAGGGCGAGGCTACGGTCTACCGGTGCCCACAGGTGATGGTCGAGAGTGATAAGTATGTTAACCAAGTATTCATTGCTTGAATTTATAACTCATTGTAATTGTGATGACTGTAAGGGAGCGGCAGTGGTATGAGGTGTTCACTCGACACAAATGTGTCACTCCCTGGGAATGCCCTGAAATAGACGGTACATATAAACTGAGCCGTAATGGTCGGGTGCACTTCAAGTGCGTCAACGGAAGGCCTATTGAGTATAACTGCGCGATTGGCACCTCATGGGACGGCCAGACATGCAAAGTCCTATACCCTCCGAGACCGGACCCTCCGAGACCCGATCCCCCATCCTTTCACTGCCCACACGACGGCAAGTTTTACGACCCAAACACACGGCACGGGTATATCGAGTGCTATCGCAACCACCCCACACATCACGCCTGTCCGGGAGGGTTTGTATTTGACGGCCGCACCTGTAGTTCCCAACGACACCCCATCCATCACCGGACCTTCATTTGCCCCAACGATGGCCGCTTTGTGGACCCCCAAAGTGGACGGGGATATTTCGTATGCTTGGGCGGTCTGGCCACTTACTATACCTGTTCGGAGGGCACTATGTTTGATGGGAACACCTGCATAACTGACCACCCTCCATTCAGATGTCCCAGCTCTAATGGCCTATTCGCAAACCCCCGTAACCAAAGTGAATACTACCAGTGCTTTTATGGCAGGGCTCACATTAGACACTGCGAGAGTGGTTCGATATTCCTGGGCGACCGGTGCACCCGCCGGGGCACACACTTCCCGGTGCCCCACACCGGTGTTGACTACAGTCAAACAGTCGATAGGGACTACGGTAGTCACCACCACCACGACGATAGATTCAGGATATTGATCCGTGAAAGGGACCTGGTCAAGTTTGAGTTTAACAACTATGTGATCACCGATCGGTTCGACACCGTGGCCTGGAAGTGGAACCGGGAGATCGCCGACAAGAAATAGATTTATATGTCTTTAGACACACCATTACTACCAAACATTTTAATCTATTGTATTTGTCATTTCATTTATATCAATAGGAATTATTATATGAATTCATTTTTAATAACTAGATATAAAGCTTTAATTTTATTATATAATTAATAATATTAAATGTTATAGTATGTTTAATTCCTTACAATTTAGTTATATTATTATACTAGTTAATTAATTCATTTAATTATAGCTATACAACAGTACTAGATTTTTATAATCAAAAAGTGTTTACTTTTTAATATTTTAAAATTTCAGACACTACTGTGTATTTGTATATTGTGTCTAGCAATTTGCTGTTAAAAATATAAGTAAGGAAAATTGGAATTAAATTTAATTAAGTACAAACAAATTATAAAACATTTCGTATAGGAATTAACTTTCATTTTGAACGACTGCCAGAACATTAATCTAATTATAAGTTTCAATCAAATTTTACAATAAAAAAATACTTTCTCTCGTATTAAATATCATTTAATAAGAGTTTAACGGAAAATGCAATTTAAGTATTTATTTCAAATATAAATTGATATGTGCATAATAAAAAAACCAATTAATAAGTAACTAATATTGAATAATAAATTTTAAACTAACACTTGTCTGGCATTAGTTTCCATAACTAAGACAATAGGCTATTTGAGCACTTAAGAAGTTATTTAATCAATTTACAAATAATGTAAGATATATTGAGTTAATTAAAATCTAACACACATTTTATTGCACTTTGCATTTAATGCATATATAAACTAAAACAATAATAATTTCTCTGCCCATTCCCCCACTCACTATAATCGGCATAATTTCGTAAATTATAGCAAATATTTTATATACTCGTGTTATCACATATTTATCAGTAGTTAACCCCAACTCCTTTGCAACTCTTATGGGGAGTGAAAATGAATAATACAATTGACTAGAAAAAACAAAATATTTATCACGTTTTTCTGTGTTGTCGATAATTATTATTTTGCCACAAAACCCTACTTTTTCTCCAAACTCTAATTCATTTGTATATAAAATTTTCTAGCTGATATATTAGTTAACAATTAAATTCATGTGTTTTTTATATTTAAATTCTGTTTCTTAGGAATAAATAGAAATAATGCCCAGTAAAAGTTTTTGTATATTCATCTCATTAATCAGTAAGTAAATTGCTTTTAATCCACAATATTATTTTAATATTTTAAATCAAGGAGGGTAATAATCAAACTTTGTAGAATTCTCTATACATAATATTTTTAATGTCATATTTATCTATTCATTCGACACGTGTATTTTATAAATATGAGATTGTACCTTTATATTAATTATCTATTATAATAATTTAATGAATAATGTATAATTTATTTACTATTAATTCTTCATTTAAAATATATTAATTTGAATATTATAAAGTATATTAATTTTATATTTGTATTGTGAATTTAAAATTTAGTAATCACAATTCATTTGCTACTTTATTGTTTAGTACAATATATAAAAATTAAGTTACTATTTTCTTTAAAGATTATACAATTTATGTTTTCATGTTATCATAAAGAAATATATAATTTTTTAATTAAGAAATATAATGTAAAATGTGACATTTACATTTAGTCTTGGCAACACTAAATATAATATAGATATATTATGAAAAATAAAAATTTATTTGAACTATAACATAATACCTGGAATTCTTTGTTATTTTTACCCGATTATCATTATTTAATTTATGATTACAATTGGAATCAAGTATTAAAACAACTGTTTGGACAGACACTCGTCTGGGTCTCATGTCTTAAAGTATTAACTTATGATAACATAGAGATCGTGTGATATTTTAATTGATTTCCTGTAAACACAACTCACAATAAACTGTAACTTATTTCGCGATAATTACCGAAACATCTTTTAATCGATTAATAAATAAGAGATTAATGAAAATAATAGACAGACTTTTCAATGGGTTTTATCACATATTATTTTAGTAATAATCGCAAAATGTGTGTAAATATCATTTTTAAAATAAAAAATTTTACGTAAAAAAAGTTCAAATTAATTTTACTACAAAAAATAAACTATATTTAATCTAATTAATCTAATTATTTAATCTAATTATAACTTTTAAATTCTGATAGCATTGGTGAGTGGACTGCAATTTCGGTGCCCCCACGACGGCGTGTTTGAAAACCCCCTGAATAAGCACTCATACGTGCGGTGCTCTGACGGGAGGGCACATATACTTCAGTGCGGGCCGGGAGGCGATGAGACCACAAAGTGGACCAAAGTATTCAACGGACGCGAGTGTGTGGACCCATACGAGTGCCCGGAGATCGACGGCACGTATACTAAGTACGAGTGGGGTCGGGTGTGGTACAAATGTCACGGCCCTCTACCACAGCAGCACCGGTGCTCTGAGGACCACCACTACGACGGACGCAATTGTGTGCGAAAAATTAGGGCTGAGTCGCAGAGGAGACCACACTTTAAACTACTCTTGAAAGACAGAAATCTGGTTAAGTTTCAGTTCGACAACATGATTGTGACGGATACTTTCAATGAGTTAACCTGGTCATGGCACAGGACCATTGATGGAGCTGCCAAAAAATAGTTAAGAATCCAGCTTAATTATTGTTTGAAAAATTTTATGCTATTATATTAAATATTGTGTTTATATCTATATTTGAATCAGCATTATAAATAAAGTATAATATATTATATTAATTTGTGGAAATATATTGATGGTATGCAGTTGTATAGGAATTTATTGTATGTAAAAGTGAAATCCACTCTAACGTTATTATATTGTATTTTTTATTTAATTAAACATAATCAATTGTTTGCCTTAACCTAAATATATATCTTTATTTACTATAAATAAATAGATAACAACAGAATATACCTTACATTATATTGACATAAAGTCTTAGATATTAACCAAGACTATGCAATTTGATTGCTTTATGAATCATATTTATTCATATGCACATTTTATTTTTACAAAAATTATTTTTAATAAAATGTCAATTGATTTATTAATTAATACGATAGCAAGTATAGAAAAAATAATTTAAAAGTATTTGAGATAAATATAAATACTTGAAACGATTTATATATTATGGTCTCAAATATCACTATGAATAGAATTTCAGTGAAATTGCTTAATATTTTTGTCTACTGTACTGTATTACTGAATAGATATTTGGCATCTGTACTTAAGCAATTATTAATCCTTATTGTCCTTGGTATTTGCGTTCGGAACTCTGATATTTATTGTTTCCTGGATATTATAATTTTTATGATAAAACATACGCTTTTAAGTAGTAAATTAATGCAAATACTGTACACATAATCATATAATTTTTAAATATTAAAAAGTATAGTTTTAACTCAACACAAAAATGCAATGAAATATATAAAAACATTGTGTCAAACATGACTTTATTTTACAGAATATTTGTAGTTAATACCCATTAGTAACCCAGTGTATTTATACAAATGTTGCAAATATTCATAAATTAAAATAATTTTGGCAATTTCAAGAATATTATAATCAAATCTGAATCTATTTATTCACTGCATAAGGATTAAAGGGATTATTTTCTTTAAATAGTTAGATAGTTAGCATTAATTGTATGCAAAATTTATAATTCGCTTATTATATAAACTAATACACTTTTATGATCAATATTTTATAACACCTAAAGCGTAACATTAAACAACTTCATAAATTGGAAACTTTTCTATTATATTACATTTTAAATTTTTATTATCAATTACTGATTTATTACTTTTAATAGAGTAATCAAAATGTTGTGGCTTTTAACCATTTCTTTGACAATTATATTAAATATTAATTATATTGATGCTGACTGTCGGGATGACATTGTATATCCCGAGACCCTATGCATTGCTAACATATTATACAGACACGTATGTCCCCGGGATGAATACATACCTACTGGCACCGACTGTGTGGGAAATGGTAAACGTATAGACCCCCGATGTCTGAACACCCTTTGGTTCGTAGACCCAACAGATCCGTACAAGTATTACATTTGCGAAGATAATGTTCCCAGACACCACAGCTGTCCACACAATCACTTCTACAATGGCCAGAGATGTGTCCGATCGTATAACTGTCCCTCTGCTGGCTATCATGTACTCGAAGACCCCGACAGCTCCCGTCGATATATCATCTGCAGGGATGGCATCGGTACTCTCACAGACTGTCTGTCCGATTATGTGTTTGACAGGAGTCAACGCATTTGTGTCCCACGGACAGCCACAGGTAGGCTTCAGATGCCCGTCCCATGCATACGGACTCTATAGAGATCCGCACCACTCGAACCGGTATTACATCTGTAATAAAGGTATAGCCGATCCGAGAACATGTCAGCACAACCACGTGTTTGACGAGGACAGGGAGGAGTGTATCCTTCATATTGACCACGGACACCACCGCAATAATTGGATAGTGAAGGGCGTGTGTCGGGTCACGTATATGAGGGACGGCTATCCCAATGTTATTGTAGATGTTTGGGATAACGCCGCTTATAAGTGGGTGCGAAGTGAGGTCTCTAAGGTTGGCTACAGAGATGAAGATATAGCTATTGTTTAATATTAGAGAGTAACCCTGTTACTATATTATTTAATATTAACAAATAATATGCTTAATATTTTCAATTTATTATTGAAACAAATATTTAAGAATAAGTTTTATAGCTAAACTTAAAATTATTGTAGAAATTGTAGTTTATAAGTTGTAGAAATTTGAATAAAATACTTTTTAAAACTAAATTATACTATTGTAGTCATATGTTATTTAAATAATCAGTCTACTTGATTAATATCAATTAAACTAAATCCTTCTAAATAATTTAATTTAAAGTTTAAACCTAACTAACCTGTAATGTATGTTTGTGTGAATTGTCCAATTCAATTTAACTTATAAAGATTAGTTTATGTAAATACATGAATTAATCTATTTTTCAATTGAGGACTAAATAATAACAGATAATTTGTATTTTATTGACATCATTATGTGTCCATGTAATAAAGATATTCAGTAGTGACAAATAAACAAACAAACAAATTAATATTTAAAAAATATTTACTTAAACAAGCATAATTCTACAAGAATTGTATGTTAAATGTTTTTTATGTGTCAATCATGTCTGAGACAATGTCCATATGGCAACATATTTGATACAATTGTGTAATAGGCAAACAAGGGTGTCACAAGTAAACCCCTTGGTTCCTAAACATAATGAACCCCAATACTAACTGTAAGCTCAGGGCATCCTTAATAAGTCGGACATAATTATGTATTTAAAGAAAAATTTTTAACATAACTGAACCTTTAAGTAAATATCTGTTTGAACACTTATACTTTGATATTATACCGTTAATATCAAAGGGGAGATTAATGCAATAAAATATCATTTTAATTATTGAATAGTTTGTCCAATATGTGTATTAGATGTATGCAAAACAATAATCATAAAACGCAGGATAATTAATCAGATTGTTTTATACAATACCTATATATTGCATATTTAAGTGTTATTATAATTGTTTTATAAGTTGTTTAGAAACTATAAAGACATGAAAATGCTTTTGTACTTAACGACAATTTATATAATACTAGTCATACATATTAATGACGTCTACACCGCATGTCCGGTGGACACAGAATACCCGGAAACCCGATGCAGAGGTAACCTGTTATACAGACGCAGCTGTCCTGAGGACGAGTACATCCTAATCGGCAATTGCAATGACGGCGCAAAAGTAGACTCCCGGTGCCGCACACCAAACGGCTGGTTCAAAGCGTCAGATCCGCGTAAATACTATATTTGCTATAATTATATCCCGACGCTCGCTACCTGTCCCCATGGCCACGTATACGACGGTAGCAGTTGTGCCAAGTCGTATCCCTGTCCAACCTATGGCTATCATGTCTATGAAGACCCAGACGATAGGTACAGGTATTATATCTGCAACAATAGACAGGCCACTCACGCCACATGTCGGTCCGATGAGGTGTTTGATATCAGCAGAAAAGGATGTATTTCCCGATTGCCAAGACCCTATACCTTCCCATGCCCGTCCTATGGCTACCGACTCTACGCAGACCCATACAATGCCAGACAGTATTATATCTGCAGTAATGGTGTTCCCTATCAGCAGATATGTCCGCACCGGTATGTGTTTGACGAGAATAGGCAGGCCTGTCATCGTCGAGGTATCATTGACCCAATTTGGACAGTAAGGGGAGAGTGTAAGATTGAATACGTACGGAACGGACACCCGGGCTATACTATAGTCGATGTCTGGGATAACGACGCTTATAAGTGGAGGCGCACTGAGATCCCGGGCAGAGATAATAGTTATGTGTACCTGCAAAATATACCTGACCTACCAGCCCCTATTCCACATCAAAACCACCGGAATTAATAAATAATTAAACAATAATTATTTTAAATGATTATAATTTGTTTAACGTAATATTCAATTAAAATGTTATCTAAAATTTTATTTTTAAGATACTAGTGATAAGAATTATTGATAATTAATTTGATAATAAATAAATATTCTTAATTAGTATATAATCTAAATAAAGGTTTAATTAAAATATATATTCATTTTATAATGTTTTAAAGTTCAATTAATTTTTGATTAAATTATTTTATTTAATAGTTGTCATACATAGTATATCTCTGCAAAATAATTATTTATAAGTTATAAATTATTAAGTTATATATAGTTATCGCATGTTTTCTTAGAATTTCCTTTTTGTGGGAATACTTATAAACCTAATCTCAGACAAAACACTTGCAAAACAATATTTATGCAAACATTTCATTTCATTTGAGATTAATCTAAACCTTCAAATCACGATAAGTAAAGGGTTGAACATATTTAATTAGTATTATTATAATTAACAGTTACTTGTAAAAAATGTGTGGGAGATATAAAAAAATACAGTAATTCCTGAATAATATAAATATTTTTGTATAAAAAATAACAATAATTATTTAAAACATTTTAAAAATTATGCACTCTATTGTATTTAATTGTAATTAAGTTAGTAAAATTATTCAATTACAAATTACAGAATCTATTGTAAAATAAATTAATAGATAACTTCCATTGGATTATGCACATTAACTTTAAATAATTGATTATTTAATCAAAAATATAATTATGTAATAAGTCATAAAAATGTAAATTGGTTAAAGTGTATTATTGTTATAAGTTATATCACAGTTGACATTTAAATATTTATATTCTAGTAATATTTGTGTTTAATAATTACTTTTTCCTAATTTAAACTTAATTATATTAATGATAAAATAGTTCCTTTCATTTAAATTACATATAAAAATAAGAATATATTTATTCATTTAACTGATAATAATTGATATCTATATAAGTTGGGCATATATCGTGAAATTAAATGTGAGTCTATAGTAATGAATAAATTGTATTCAAAGTATTAATATTATAAACAAAATTGCTTATTTAGCACAAGAATTTCACACTAAGAATGTATCGTTTTTTGTTTATATTTGTTTTTATAACAACAGGTAAGCTTACCACTAAATTTATTATATATTAATTTTGATTCTAATATTTATAAAATGAAAATTACATTTATTAATTTGTGTGTTATATAAAAAATATGCATTAGTGTGCGAATACGTTATGTTATATTCATAGAGATTAAAACATTTCTTTTTCTTTAATCCTTAAACTGATAAGTATTTCAATCAAACGCTTTAATAAATACAGAATTCAGCAAAAAAACTAATAAACATATTTAATGTTAAATATAAATTGCATAAAAATAAAATTTATAATCAAATCAATATATTCACACAAATTTATTGAATAAAAATTACATATTTCGATACTCTAATTATTTTATTTTTAATTTCATAAAACTTAATATAAATTATCAATATTTATAGCCAATTGCTGTTCATATAATTGTCGTCAAAATGGGAAATACGTGAACCCGGGTAATGAAAACTCATACATCGAGTGCTATGGAGGTCAGGCAGCTATAGAGCGCTGTCCACTGGGCGGGGACGGCATGAGTCCTATGATATTTGACGAGGACCGGGGTCATTGCATTGAGGCATTCAAGTGTGCCGACAGATTCGGCTACTATCGGCACTACTATAACGAAACTTTCTACTACTGGTGCCGCGCAGGTGTGGCCTCTTTTCACCGCTGTCCATACGGACAAATGTTCGATGGAGTGGACAGTTGTGTCCCTAGGTTTGACTGCCCAGAATTGAGCGGATTTTTTAAACACCCGTCCAATAAAACTCAATTCTATGAGTGCTGTTACGGACTGCCCAGACGGAGGGACTG